CTCCGTCCCCTGCGGGTGCGGGGGTCCCGGCTGCTTCCCCGCGGGCCCACTGGAGAGTGACAGTGAAGCCCCAGCCCGTTCCCTCAGGTGCTGGGCGGAGCAGCCCGCAGGCCTGGGGAGTTTCGCTTGCTTGCCTCGGGGCTGGGCTTAGCCAGGCTCTGGACGCGTTTCCCTTCTCTAATGCCCCATGGGGTGGAGGCTTCAGCGCCAGGGCCCTGTTTTCTCAGGTCAGTCTGTCTGTAGGAAGCATCTTCAGGAGAGGCGTCAAACCCCCTCTGCCCTCCTTGTGGCTGGTGCGCGCCCCATGTGAGGTCAAAATCTGCAGACCCCTGGTTTAATTTGAAACTCATGCTTCTCCTGGCAGGTTCTCCTCTAGCAGGCGTGGATGCAAGCACGCCTGGAAGTGTTCACTTCCACTCCTGTTGTGGAAATGCAGCACAAAGCAATTCAGATTTGGGTACATTATATAAGTTACATATATTTCAGCTGAGCCAAAGCTTTAGTTTGAATCTTTTGACCTTTTTCAAAAACAGTTTCATATTATGAGTTTGCAACTCATTGCTGCTCTTAAAAAAAGTGTACTTCTCAGATGTTCATGTTGAAACTGTTAGAGGAAAAAAGCAGGCTTTAGTTTCTGTGTCAAAACTTAAAAGGTCTTGTTTCTGAGAGGAATTAGCTCACACTTCTTACTTTAGGATGTACTAGAATATATTTAGCTCCCATATACAGGTTAATCATTTACTAAATAATAATATGAAGACTTTCAAGAAACAACTTGATGTTGTTTGCACATCTTTCTGTAAATCATGCTGTTGTCTGGGAGTAGTAGGGTGCTGCATTAAGCTTGTGGTGATGCAAACAATAGGACTAAACTGGTAAAATAAAGACACTAGAAATCAAGAATATCACTTGCAATATAGCAGTTGTAGTATTGTAATTATGAAAATGTACTGTGCTTTGTATAAATATGGGACAAAACTACCTTTCCTGCAGGTGTGCATGGAAAGATCTTATTACTGGCTTTAACATATTTTAAATGGTGACACTAATTTGTGACCTTTGTATTCTGAAGCTGATTGTTTATTAATATTTCTATTGTTAGTAAAATAGTAAATTTAGTAGTGTCTTGCCTTTCATGTTTAAATGCAGTTTTGCTCTTCACACTTTCATTTATGGTAGCATGACACTACTATTTTTTACAGCTACTGTAACGAGTTGCTAAACACGCAATCCAAAAGTGTCTTCCTGTCATATTAACAACTTGATCGTATATCAACTTTCAGACTGTACGAGTTCTGTTAAGTATTCAATTTATAATGGTCCTTGTGGCAACAGGGTGTGCGTGGCAGAGCAGAGGCCAGCTACCATGGGGAAGGAGTCTCCCACCATCTATACACCCCCATCCCCACTCTCTGCCTTGCAGCTCAGTCCCCAGCCATAGCTCTGCTCCAGACCCAGGTGCAGTTCTCCTCTCTAAGGCCAGCATTACCTTCAGCCCAAGCTCCTGTGCTGAGCCATCTGTACAATAATGGAGTGGGCTTGTGGACATACTCCAGTACTGATAAGGGGAGGTGAAAAAGTTAGGGCACCTCATTCTCCCCATTCAAGATATCTTGTATTATCAGGCACATTTATCGTAAACTGCTTTGCTATTAAATTGAACTTAACAGTGGAACAGACTTTTTCACCTTCAGTGTTAGTTCCAAAACTATTTGCTAGATAATCTTTTTCATGTTTCCAGCCTCTTTATAAGATTACCGTATATTCCGGCGTACAAGACGACCTCTGAAGTTAAAAAACATCCCCCAAAAATCGGGGGTCGTCTTGTACGCCGGATGCCCCGCCGCCGGAGCCCCTCCGCGGCTTTGAAAGCCTTGGGGGAAGCCGGCGGCGGGGCATCCCAGGCGCGCATGGGCTGCCCCCCCGCCGGAGCCCCTCCGCGGCTTTGAAAGCCTCGGGGGAAGCCGACGGGGG